ATTAAATACCTTTTGTAGACTGGTAGGATTTAGCTGAGTTTTGTCTATTATTTTCACAGCGACCTAAAAAAAAGAAACATTACACTATATTGAAAATACATATTTTAATAATGAATAAAAACTTACAAAGAAAATATCTTTTGTTTCATTCCTAACAAGATATAATTAAGCTCTATTTGAGTGTTAACATAATTGGACAGTAAAGTTTTGATAACTTGGCAGCCTCAGAACATACTCCATTGACTTAAGCCTTTTTAACCTATTTGATCTTAAGTCAATTTCGCCTTTGTTATTCTTTCAAAGTTCCCCCTTTTAAAGTAAAAATCATCCTGTATCTTAATCTTTTACTCATGATCTTGACAAGCAACAATTACACAGAGAAGTGGCTTATAAACATACAGTAATTAAGTATTACGTGAATAAAATGATTACATGAGTAGAGGGACTGGATACCCAAGCTTACTTATAGCAAACTGACAAAATGGATTTGAATATCTAAGGCTCTTCCAAGTGTAGACTTAGAATAGCTCCTAGAGTCAGAATGGACAGAAAGAGTTCAATTCAATGGGAAATGACAATTATATTATCTATAGAGCAAAGTGAAAACTTATTAAAAACATTTCATGGTTGAGATTTTTTTATAACATCCTAATCAGATACATGGTACAATAATACAATAAACATTATACAATATAATAGAAAATGTTAGCTGTTTATTTAAATAAAGTCTTTAACCCCAACATACAGAGATATATATATACATATTATATATATACACACATGCACACAAAATGCATGTATGTGCAAATATATAGTCTTGTATTATATAAATACACATAATTTAAAACACATGGCTGGGATTTTAGAAATTCAACTCTCTTACTACTTGGGAAAACCACCTATATAATAATACTTACTCAATGTGGTCTCTAAACAAATAAAAATTAGTGGGTGACTTTCTACATATTTATACCTGACTTACCTTAAGCAGTAATCAATAAGAACTTATCCTACTCTTGTTGGGTAGCTATGGTAATTAGAAATGTTCACAGAAACCACATAATGAAAGAAGCCTGAAGAAAGCTCACTTGCAGCATGCCTGATTTATAAGAGATGCTGACATATAGGGTTGGTTCTTTTCTAAATGTTAAAAGATCAACTTTTATGTCATGATATAGCTCTACCTAACAGTCTTCCATTCACAGATATCCCAGTGTTGACCACGTTGCTACTGTCATTTATTCCTCAACATCAGCTAAGGAAAGCTTTTTAACAAGACTCCAGAGAGGTACAGGCAAATGTTAAGAGGCATCATGTAAACTTACCTCTCTACCAGTTAGAACATGTCTTGCCAATTTCACTTTGGCAAAATTTCCCTTCCCTATTGTTTTTTGTAAACGGTAATTTCCAATATGAGGCTGTTCATCTGTTGCTGACGTAATGGAGTTTCTACACCGGGGGATGTTCTGTCTGCTACTTGACTTGGTAGGCTGGATGTGTGGTTCAGTATACCCATCCACAGATGTATGCTAAGAAAAAGGTTACAAGATTTCATTGTTAATTAATTTATATTATAAAAGGACAAACAGAAAGCCCTACAAATAATTTCCGTTAACGGTTCAGCTTCCATGAAATTTGTACTACATGATTTTAAAGTTTGAGCATTCTATTTATAATTTCTTTTTGCCTTCAGGTTCCTTTACCACAGGTAGTATAACTATTTAAAATGAAATGTTCTACATACCTTTAGGTATATGTCTTTGATTAAAAAATGTAAATGGACAGACAGCCAGAAGCCCCACAGACCCTTATTCCTGTAAGGGTGTGGAGATGACAGCACAGTCCAGGAATGCTTCATTAAAAGGGCACAATGTCTTCACCACCAAGACAAATAACCTCAGGAGCATAGTTTTGTTTCTCTAAACTAGCCCAGCTACTTGAAATGTTCTCTCTTCCATTTTCTGGGCATATAACTTGAACAACTGACCAATCAGCTGCCTGCTTCAAGTATACCTCTAATAAATTTCTGCCCGACCTCATCACCTAGCTTACCACGTCCAAGTGAGAACTATCTATAGCCCGGCCCAAGTCCATGGCCTAATATCCACTGCATTAATTAGTGCTGTTCTTGAGCAAAGCTGTCACTGTGTCTCATAGTCTCACGCTAGCCTACAACTGCTATGAAGAACTGATCCTATTCTGTGGGCTCAGCACCTGGATTCCCAGGTCAAGCTGCCTAACCAACTTGATCTCACTAGCTCTGATTGTTCCTGCTCTTGTCTAATTTTGTCTATACTCTGCCATACATAAAATTTATAGCAGTTTTTGTGAAAAAATACAATCACACATGATAAACATAATAGCTTTCTCTGGTTTCTTAAAAAATAGCTGAAGATAAGTAAAACAAATTAGCAAAGGAAAGGATATCTTTTATTTGCAAAATAATTCAGACATGTTGTCCTACCTATATGAGCAACAGCTTGTCTAAAACATTTTGTTCAGAAATTTCTTAAAGGCAACATTAAAGACTAATCCATTTATCAGTCTCATTCAAAGCATGACTCAAGGTCATTTTTCTATTTGTCATTACTTTGTTTTTTTATGATAATTTTTTAAAAACTCAGCTCAGAACTAAGGGTTTTGTCCGCGTTTTATAGATATTAATACCTATAGCCTCTGACCTCATTCTGACTTAGATGCCCCTTTGGTGTATTCTCATAGCAACCTGTATTTCCATTTATTGCAGCATCCATTCCATTTACTATCATTACACATTTACTTGTCTGTCTCCACCACCCTACCATGAGCAATTGTAGGGCAGGGATTTTTTTTTTT